TACAATTGGTTCCTGGTATTTCCCCTCTCACGCCATACATGAGCCAGACCTGTTGTATGGGGAAACCCTAGCACCCGGAGGAAACCTGCACAGACACAGGGAGAACATGCAAATGCCACACAGAAAGGCCTGGAGGTGGAATCGAACTCATGACCTTCTTCTATAACGTTTTAACTTCCCCACTTTGAGAATAGTAGCGCATTCAAGCTACTTTACATGAACCATGATTTTATTTTGAAAAACCTCCTCTAATCACTGTAATCTTGCTAAAATGAAAATAGATCGGATTTTATTAAAATGTCTGTTTTTTCCTCTGTTGAAAATGCTAAATCCAACAGTCTTGCATTCCTCCCTTGGCGAAACCAGACAAAATGACTTAGCTTTCTCAGGTACCGTAAATGTTAATAACTGACTGAGTGAATAAGTGATAAGGCTCGCATCTCTGTGCTGTTTTTCCTTATAAGCACCACCTCAAAAATCATCACGAAACCTGTACATTGGTTTCTCAATAGCTACTATAATTTATAAAACAAATATATCTTGAGGCAGATACAGCAGCCGATGATACCAACACGATATGTTTGACTCACAATAATCTGATATATATATATATATATATATATATATATATATGCAGCTGGATAGCTCAGTTGGTAGGGCACAGGACTGGGACCTGGGAGGCCAGGGTTCGAATCCCACCGGGAGCACATTAACACCAACATCCAGTGAGGGTCCTTGGGCAAGACCCTTAATGCTACTGCCTAACTCATAACCATGAAGGTACAAATAAGCAATGAGATGCCGGATCAGCCGTCGCCCGGCCAAACAAGGTCTGCGTCAGGTGCTGGGGAACCAGAGCACCTTGATGAAAAGTGGGCTACTGGAACAAGGCGAAAGTGGACGAGATGCGATAACAGGGCTCTGTTGGAATGCTACTACTCGAGTAACCCTGGCCAAAGAGGTTACATGCAGAGAATGTGGGCTGAATGGTTACTTCGAAACCCACAGTCACAGTTGACCCCGAAACAACTGGTAGCTCAATGCTCCAACATCCACAAACGGCAACTGCTATCACAGCTTGAGATTGATGAAGTACAACACATATATGATGCCACAGTTGCCGAGGTCAGAGGGGAGATCCCACCAACTGCAACTCCCCAACCAGATATTGGGTACATAGCCCCAATGGAACCGATAACGCTGAACGAGGCAGCGACTGACCTGAAAGCTAAGATCATGGCTAGAATGGGCACAGGGCAAAGACACCGGTTACAGCGGTTGTGTGAAGTACCACCTAAGGATCTCATAGAAAGCGTGAATGCAGCAGTGAGGGCAATACCTACCACCACAATCACTGAAACCAATGAGCTGATATACACTTCAGCAGCAGTGATCCTAGAGATGCTTGGCTATAAGAGCAACCATGGGAGCCATGGACAATACCCACCATGGAAAAGACGGTTGGAGGCTAAGATCAAGGCGGCTCGGAGAGAAGTGAGTCAATTAACAGAGGCCCAGAGAGGTGCAATGAAAAGACCAGTACCCAGAAAGTACAGCCAGATGACCATACCTGAAGCACTCGAAACTGCCAAACAAAGGCTCCAAGCCCTGGCCAGCCGCCTACAGAGGTACACTAAAGAGAATGAAGCCAGAAGGGTGAACAGGCTGTTCGCAACACAACCTGCGAAGGTGTACGCTCAGTGGCAGGGTAACAACAGGGGAGCAGATCCACCGAGGCTGGAAACTGAACAGTTCTGGAGGAACATATGGGAGAAGGATGCAGCACATAACAGAAGTGCACAATGGCTGGTGTCCCTGAGAGAGGAGCACAGCCACCTCCCAGAACAGAACTCAGTTACCATCACAGAGGCAGACATCCGAGAAAGAGTCTCAGGTATGAAAAACTGGACAGCACCTGGCCCTGATATGGTCCATGCCTACTGGCTAAGGACACTCACATCACTCCATGAGCGCCTAGCAGCACAAATGAACCAGCTGCTGAGAGATGGGACTCACCCAGAATGGCTAACCGAAGGGCGAACGGTCCTGATCATGAAGGACCCTGTCAAGGGTGCAGTCCCCTCCAACTACCGGCCAATAACCTGTCTCTCCACAACATGGAAGCTCATGTCAGGCATCATTGCGGCTAAGATAAGTGGGCATATGGAACAATTCATGAGCACAGCACAGAAGGGCATTGGTAGGGACACCAGAGGAGCCAAACACCAGCTCCTGGTTGACAGAACAGTCGCCCAAGACTGCCGGTCACGACACACCAACCTGTGCACAGCCTGGATTGATTACCAGAAAGCCTACGACTCAATGCCACACACATGGATCATGGAATGCTTGAAGTTGTACAATATCAACAGGGCTCTAAGGGACTTCGTTGCAAACTCGATGGGAATGTGGAAGACTACCCTTGAGGCAAATGGCAAGCCGCTCGCACAAGTGACCATCAAATGTGGTATCTACCAAGGAGATGCTCTGTCCCCACTACTGTTCTGCATAGGCCTCAACCCTCTAAGCCAAGTAATTGACCAGACTGGCTATGGATACCGCCTCAGGAACGGAGCAAAGATCAGTCACCTCCTCTACATGGATGACATCAAGCTGTACGCCAAGAGCGAGAGAGACATCGACTCTCTGATCCAAACAACCAGGATCTACAGCCATGACATCGGGATGTCATTCGGGCTCGAGAAATGTAGCAGGATGGTGACTCGGAGAGGCAAGGTAGTCCACACAGAAGGGATCTCACTCCCAGAGGGAACAATAGCAGACGTTGAGGACAGTTACAAGTATCTCGGTATACCACAGGCAAATGGCAACCTCGAACAGGTGACGAGGAAAGCGGCAACTGCCAAATACCTCCAGCGAGTAAGGCAGGTCCTAAGAAGCCGGCTCAATGGCAAGAACAAGGCCCGGGCAATTAACAGCTACCCCTGCCAGTGATCAGATACCCTGCAGGAATAATCAGGTGGCCAAAGGAAGAGATTCAGACCACGGATGTTAAAACTCGAAAGCTCCTTACCATGCATGGCGGGTTCCATCCCAAATCCAGCACCCTGAGACTGTACGTAAGCCGTAAAGAAGGAGGCCGAGGACTAGTGAGTGTGAGAGCCACTGTCCAGGACGAAACATCCAAACTCCATAACTACATCATGGAGAAGGCCAAAACGGATGACGTACTCAGTGAATGTCTCAGGCAGTGGCGAGATGAGGAGGTGCTGGAGGAGAGCCCATCATGGGAGAACAAGCCCCTACACGGCATGTACCACCGGAGCATAACAGAAGTGGCTGATCTCAAGAAGTCCTACCAATGGCTAGAAAGGGCTGGCCTACAGGACAGCACAGAGGCACTCATCATGGCTGCACAGGAGCAGGCCCTGAGCACCAGAGCGATAGAGGCCCAGATATACCACACCAGACAAGACCCAAGGTGTCGGTTGTGCAAAGAGGCACCTGAGACGATCCAACACATAACTGCAGGGTGCAAGATGCTGGCAGGGAAGGCCTACATGGAACGCCATAACCAAGTGGCTGGCATAGTGTACAGAAACATCTGTGGAGAGTATGGGCTGGAAACCCCAAGGTCTAAGTGGGAAACTCCTCCAAAGGTGGTGGAAAATGAGCGTGCGAAGATCCTGTGGGACTTCCAGATACAGACCGACCGAATGGTAATGGCAAACCAACCTGACATCGTGGTGGTAGACAAAGGGCAGAGGACAGCCGTGGTGGTGGACGTGGCAATTCCAAGCGATGGTAACATCCGGAAAAAAGAACATGAAAAGCTTGAGAAATACCAAGGTCTCAGAGAGGAGCTGGAGAGGGCCTGGAGGGTAAAGGTGACAGTAGTGCCCGTGGTGATCGGTGCACTCGGGGCAGTGACCCCGAAGCTAGATGAGTGGTTACAGCGGATCCCCGGAACAACCTCGGACATCTCGGTCCAGAAATGTGCAGTGCTAGGAACAGCAAAGATACTGCGCAGAACCCTCAAGCTCCCTGGCCTCTGGTAGAGGACCCGAGCTTAGAGAGGGATAACCGCCCGCGGAGGGCCAAAGGTGAGTGGACAATTTTTTTTTTTTTTTTATATATATATATATATATAAAAAACAAAAAAACAAAAAAACAATCAGACTCAAATAGCCGGGGGCAAAAATCTGCAGCTAAAATGCAACTTTGGTAATTATTGAATTTGTGTTTTCAATTGGAAGTCTGTGAATCTGGTACGTCTCTATGTTATTAAGATAAACATACTTACGACGTATAACAACAACACATAATGGATTTGTGTTGTTTCATGGTGAATGTGCAGAACTTTGCAGTGTTCAAATGCTATAGAAATACACACACACAAACGCACACACACTCACACTCGCGCGCACACACACGCACATGCACACTCACAGATGGCCAGGTTGTCAACCAAAAGGCAACATACAGTATCTGTACAAACAATACAAATAAAACTCAACAAATCATGAACTCAAAATTGTCTATTGCGTTACACCAGATGAAATAACAAAGTGAAAAAGTTAGGTACCCCAGCTTTAAAAAAAAAAAAAAAAAAACATCTGACAAACATAATACTCACTAATGTCCCACGTCACTTCTGAAGGAATGTGAGTGGAATCCTGGTCACCGGTGAGGTCCATGCCTTTGAGCTGAGTCACTGTGCAATCCAGCCTGCAGAGGGCGCTCTCATGGCCCGCACTGACTTCAAGGTGCAGTGTTTGTCATTGAGTAATCCCCATACACACACGCACACACACACACACGCACGCGCACACACGCACACACACACGCACGCGCACACACACGCACGCGCACACACAGAGGGAGGTCCCAGCTCAGGACTTGAGTATAAGAAAGCCCCCTGCACCAGGACCACAACACACAGCACCTGCCTCTCCCCTCCACACATAGGAAGCCTTTCACATTAGAAAAACATTTAATTTAAAATCACTTTTTTGCAAAAATTTTCATTTGTGAAGAACATGGCTCGCTTTTACTACCAGACAATGTTGGTTATCGTCATCGTGGCTCTGCATGAAGGTGAGTTTTCGCATTTCTTTAATTATAGAATGTGTTATTGAATGTTAATTGTCTACGAATTTCAAGATCTTTCAAACTCTCACTACCACTGAAAGCATTCAATGTTGTGATATTGCATTTAAAGCTTTGGTTAAAATAAATAAAGGTGTTTGTGAATACATAACCAAGTAGTTTGTGAATTAAGTAGCCAAAATGAATGACTACGATACATAAAAAATACATAGCATTGGGAAAACATGGATCTTTTTTTTAATTTTTGTTTTGAGAATTAAACAACTTGTATATTTGCCAAGGATGTTTTAAAAGTTTAAATTCAAAAGAATAATTGTCATATTTAGAGCTTTGTCAAGTCAATAGCGGGATGACATTGCTTTTGCCATGCGACCATGCTATACCTCCTTGTTACAAAATACAACTGACCCAATGCCAAAAAGTGTATTTTTGATTTAGATAAACCTGTTTTAAACTGCAACTCTGACCAAATTTCTCACATAAATCAACCAACATTGTAATGTTTTTGGTATTTTTCATCCACGTTTTTCCACTTCTGTATACTGACTGAATTCTAATTTTCATATGCAAGGCTTCAATTTATTTATGAATGGTTGTATTAGTGACTTTTTATATTGGCAGCATTTGGAATGATACTAATTTCAAATGTTATTCCAAAATGTCCTCGTATGAAAAGTCACTGATACACAAGAAAACGTTTCTTGTGGAAGTGTAAATTAGGAACAAGCAATTACGTCTTTTTTCTAATAAAATGGTCCTGCTTTCCTAATAACTAATTAATCAGTTATAATGTTAGATTAATGGATCAGAGTTGGCTGAAGAAAATGACAAATTATGTTATAATGGATTGAATTAAAGCTGGGGAACCTGATTTTTAGCAGTAATTTATTCAATTTTGCTATTTCCTTATTGCATGAACAATCTTATTTGTTTGCATTTTCCATGATTTTAAATTCACTTTCTGAACACTGAAAAAAATAAATGGACATAACCACTCTGCTTGCAGCCCAAAGACTCAAACACTGACCTTTTTAACTTCTAATCAAAGTAATTGATTTCCAAAAGGTTTCTCTGTTGTTTGTCTTCTGCATACTCACAATCCGGCTTCCCCATTAGCAACTACATTTACAAACTTGAACAAACTTGATGTTATGTAATCCTCTCTATAATAATAAACCTTGTATGCAGGTTGTGGGGTGCCCCTGTCCAGCCTCAGTCTTCCCGCCTCTTTGGTTCAGCCCAAGACCCACACTCGGGTCAAACGCTGCTCCTGTGACAACTGGGAGGACAAGGAGTGCCTCTACTACTGCCATCTGGACATCATCTGGATCAACACGCCCAGGTGAGAGCAGGACCGAAACAGGTTATGATGAAAATGTGAAATTATTGTTGCTTATGGTGATACTGAGACATGTATGTAGTTCCATGAAGATTTCTGGACAATGTCTCCAAGCCTGACTTTGCATTTCTGCTTCTGGAAAAAGAACATGATTAATTTGATTGAAAACATATTTTTTTCAACTGTGAAGCAGTCGGTTTTAAGTCCTCTTGTAAAAATCAAATCATCAAATCACTTAAAACCTATGAGACTTTTTAACCAGTTGTTGAGTATATATTCAAAGCTGAGGTTCCAAACTTTCAAACCACCAGAATTTCAACTATAGTGGCCGCTCACTGTCCCTCGAGGATTTCTTTGTCCACAAGTTTTTCATATAACCGCTAGTGTACCATGATATTTTCCTTTATTTAAAGTTCTGTGGCTTTTGTGCACCGCTGCAATTAGTTCAGCGTGTTTTAAACAGCTTTAAAACATACAGCTGCTACTTCACAGATTTAGCTAATTGTGCAGATTCTTTTAAGCAATTTTTCGACACCCCTCTAAAAACCAGAGACCACTGTATATGTATGTAACGCAATCCAACCGGTAACTAATTTGTCAATTTCAAAACAGTTTGGTTCTATATAGTTTTCACACGCCTCTATTACATCTTTAGTTCTGCTTTTTCAGACAGAAACGTGACAAAGACAGGACCCGAACCCTTTCTCAGACATCTTTCAGCCCAAAGCGTCAAATAGCGACCTTCAGGGCCCTTTCTTACAAGTATACAAAAGAAAAATGACAAGTTCCGCATTTTTTCCACATTTCATTTCCATTGATTTGAGAAATAACAGAACAGAACTAGACCTGTACATGAATCAAACCACCAATTTAATTTCCTCTTTCCACACACCCAGACCCTATGTCTTACTTACAGTCTCTCTCCTCTCTCTATTGACAGTAAGCTCGTCCCATACGGCCTGGGCAGCTCCGCCTCTCGCCATCGCCGCTCGCCACAGCGCTGCCAGTGCTTTGACCGGGCTGACCACGCCTGCTCCAACTTCTGCCACAACAGGTGAGTCCGGCTTCCGTCCCTGAGTGAGCGTGCGAGAAGCAGGGACGCAACATTGTAGTCAAATAGAAAAACATATCAATCGTTTTTGAGGTTCCAAAAAAGCGCTATTTTAAACCAATGCATTATTATTATATGTAAAGTTATACAGCAGATATTGGCATCAAAACATCAAATTATCTTGGATTTATATGTGAAAATCTATTATCAGTGCTTGAATGAAAGTCTATAAAAGTTCTAATTATACTCCGACATAATAAGAAAGGGTATAGTTAACATTTGAGTCTAGTTTTTAAAGCTTGGGCAAGTTTATGAAGATGAAGAGATCCTGGATTCCTTTGATAAGTTACGTGATAAGCTACGTGAATATTGGGTATAGAACAACTTGAAAAATCAAATCAAATCTTTGCAATATTTTGATCTCCCTACAACACCGCAAACAATAACAAATTACATTTAAAAAAGAACTAAGAATTAGCCTCATAATTGGAAAATATTTGTATTTTCATGGTTAATTATGCCATTAAAAAATCAAGGAAAGAAACATCTAAATCAACCGATAGATAAAAAGAATAAATCCCACAAACACGGACACACACACACACACCAAAGGGCTAAATCCTGAAACCGTTCCAGTTGAGAACCATTGCTTTATGTAATCTTTGAAAAATTTCCCACTATGAAAACAAATCAGATCGCAAACGATTATCTGAAAACTTGCATAATTCTCCAAAATCAGCCCCAACACGGAAACAAAATCGCCGAAGTATCTCCCATCATACTGTCGCTGTCATTCCAACGGCAGTCATGCAACGCTGTGTTTATCGGTAATGATATAAAAGCTGAGGAATGCCATAGCGGTTATAGGGGACATGGGCATAGTTCGGAGGTATCGGCCCATATTTTTATGTTCCTGTTTGCTATTTTTACACCGTGGTAAAGACTAATGTTGAGTCTTTACTGTCATAGTATGAATCATTCCTTGTCTAGATGTTATCAACAGAGATGCCAGCATTCCTGTCTTGTCTCGGTCTTAGTCAAAAGAATTAAAGTAAAACAATACTTATGTAATACATCATAAAATTTGGACGAAAATCACAGGTTAAAAATATGCATTGATGTTGCTTCTGCATACGTCTAGAAGTCACCTTTAAAATCGGATACATTTGATTTGAGTAGTAATGTGAGCTCGGCTTTGTGCAAGACTAGACTTGTCCTGAGTGAAAGTGAAATTCTTTCTCCCACAGTGTCTTTTTCTTGGTCAGATAAAGTTTTATAACAAAACACAATTTCTAAAGTTGTTTTTCCATCTGCAGCTCAGAGGAGAACGCGACCACGAAGCTGGAATTTACCAAGTCATCAGACAACAAGCTGCTGCAGTCTCTGAGGTGAGGGGCGAGCAGGCTTTCTGTCACGTACGCACTTTGCATCAAACATTCATTATTTAAAAAACCTGTATGCTAGAATGTACAAAATGAGACCACAGCAATTGTAAAGCGCTTCTGTCTGTGAAAGGCGCTAAATGAAGATTACTTCTTACTCACTTACATGTATCCACTGTAATTTTGAGCCCATAGCTTCATGCTGCTAACATGTACAGTAGTATCACATGATGCTAACATACAGTAGTATCACATGATGCTAACATACAGTAGTATCACATGATGCTAACATACAGTAGTATCACATGCTGCTAACATGTACAGTAGTTTTGTTACTGAAATGTCTCCAGTTTTGCCCTTGTGAGATTTTCCAGTTTCAAATTATTATCATGTCTATGCCTTCAAGTAGACGATACACTGTTAGATTTAGATCAACCGTAATGTACTTTCCCACTATTACCAAAAGAGGATGTACAAATAACAGTTGTTTGTTTAGATTTGTGTGTCTCACCTCTTTTCCTCTGTCTTTCCAACAGATCAGTGATCATGTCCAACTCAAAGAAGTTATCGTCCAGAGAGCCACGCACTAAGTCCCGGCAGCAGCTCACGTCCACCATACGATAGAAGATCAGAGGGAGGTTTTAAGACACACTTCACTGCCAGAAGCCGACCACGAGATGTTTGCATCGGTGTCGCAAAAAGGAAGACATCCACAGAGCTCCAAGAGACATTCGCAATGGAAGGAGCAGGAAGGAGCAAGAAAGAGTGGGAGAAATGGCAACTCTTTGGGAGACCTCACAATCCAGCACCGTCAAAAGGACCCAGGACCGGATATGGAATTACAGAGACCCTTAGAGACAATATTTTGTTTTAGTATGGACACTATTTATACGGAGAATATAATCTATATGGTTAGAAGTGGCTGCTTTGACAGAGTTTTCGTACAAATGCATTCATCACTCTAACGTCAGAATACTTTTGACTGAACGCGATCAAATGTTTGTTTAACATGAAGCTAAGTGAAAATATAAGCAGGATCTACGGGCAAAGCAATTGAGGCACCAGCAAGCTCAAAGAAAATTATGAAACTTAACATTTCACATCATACATTTTTTCATTTTCCAATTTTTTCCCCTACTCATCTGATTGGGTAGTTTCAAATTTAAGGTATGTCTTATTTTTTCACTATAGGATTGAAATTGATCCAAAGTGATTGGTATTTTCCCTGCCTAATTGTATATAACTTTAATTATTGACTAATGACTTTGATTGAATATTCTTTAAATTTGAGGAATCCCCTTTTCTTTTTTTCACAATCGGATTAAACTGGAATGATGTCGCCCATTGCTATAGAGCGCTTTGTAATGGATTACCAATGCAATCCATTCCAGAAGTAATCCGTTACCATTAATATTACTATTATTATTTACCCTACTGTCTATATACGGTAAAACACATTGACAGTAGGGTAAAACTAACTCACATTACCTATATCTATAACACAGAACCACTAGAGCACTGGTCATCCACTGGTCGTCCAATGGTCATCCACTGTTTGTCCACTGGTCATCCACTGGTCATCCACTGGTCGTCCACTGGTCGTCCACTGGTCATCCACTGGTCATCCACTGGTCGTCCACTGGTTGTCCAATGGTCATCCACTGATAGTCCACTGGTCATCCATCAGTCGTATGGCGTGGCGCACTCAGTTATATGAGTGTAATATTTCTCTGTATCAGAGAACAACATGCTTGATATTTGGGCTCGTCTGTGTCAGGTACAGTACTTGAAAATGGCAGCTTCTTCACAACAAAGGCCTTTTATGTCTTTTTTTATGCAACATTTATGCAACACTTTCTTCATGTCCATTCTCCCTCTGTATCGGTGACATTCCAGCTCCCCGGTCCATTGTGCGGAGACTGTTTGTTGTGGGTGCACTGGCTGAAGATAAGCCAAAGCCAGGTCTGAATGAGCGCGGAGTGCCACGGAACACAATGGTATCATAATTTTGCAGTAATTATCCGAGGGACATGAAGACCCTCTGTCCCAACGGAGCGCCAACACAGGAAATGAAAGGCTCCATCCCTCCTCTGGTCCATTATTATCGCATGAAAGCAACGACTGTACATAGACCTGTTTATTTATTGTCTTATTTATTATGATGGAGTATATTTATAACGGTATGAATGCGGCATTGATATGGAAATAAAACATACATGGATGAAAACTGTTGATTGTTTGTCCTCCTTGAAAACAGCATGAAAGAAAAAACCATTTAAAGTTATTGCTCTATAAAAGAAAACTTAATGGTGAATTAAAGCAGGGTTACCCATTATTTCTCTTTCATAAATAATGTATCCTCTGTATGTGACCCATCCTGCATTGTTGTCATAGTATTGCGGCAGGGGACGATCCCAGATGTTGATTGGTCAGGAGGAATACCGGTGTTGAAGGATTTACATATTGTACATGCTTTTAGTGGTAGGGGAATCCAGTGCGTGTGGAGAAAACCTATGCAGAGAGACAGGGAGAACAAGCAGACGCCAGGATTCAAACCCAGAACCTTGGGCTAACCTTTCTCCTTGTAAAAAAACATGTAAACAAAAAGATGCTGCATACAAATAACATCAATTCCAGAGGTTCTGAGCTTTAAAGCAAGGTATTACAAATCTATACTGACTGAGCTGAAGTTGGCTGGATGACACTGTGAACTTGTATTTATAATCTCAAAGATTACTTTATCTTACACAGAGGGCCACAGCACATGACACAGAGGGCTGCAATTGGCCCACAGGCCTTAGTTTGGACAAGCCTGCGGTAGTGACTTTCAAAGATCTATTTTGATCCTTTTAATTTGACACGTTCCTGTCTTCCCTGTGGTGTAGAGCAACACGGGTCCAAACAACATGTCAACCTTTCCCACTGTTTGACAGGCCTCTCGAGTAAAACAAACAGGTCTGCAGGAAGAAAACAATTCCATATTTGTTATAGTCCCAGACCATGTGACGTTTTTAAAATATACTTATTGGGGGAGACCATAATATGTAATAATCTATTTGTTTTTATCTCTGGCCTAGTTTGAACTGAAGTCGTTCAAAACACTTCATTGAAAACATCCTCAAGTCTATCTGTGGTGAATGCAGCCGCTGCAGTCAGCATGTCCTCTGCCTGTTTGTCTAAGATACAGGGCAGAGCTGCAGAGCTGCAGAGCAGAGGACACTGGTCAGAGGTGATCCGAGGGACACAAGAACACACACACATACACACATCTGTGACAGCTGGTCACTGTTTTGAGTTGAGATGCTGCTGCTTAACTTTTATCGCTGCACCATTGAAAGTTTGCGTGTGGTTTTGTAACATCACAGCCAAAGAAAGGAGAGCTCTAAACAAGGTGCTCTTCTCTCAGGACTGTGAGCTGTGAGCTGCCCGTTCTTGACGTTCTTTATGAATCCAGACTCTTAAGCCATGTTCCAGCTTCTTCCCTTGGGCACAACATGTTATCAGTTTAAACAAAGCACTTAAAAGATCTTGCACTTGTATTGAAACTGTTTTAGTTGATCGATTTCACAGTGACAATTGTGTTTGTTTTATTCCTATACTTTTGCGGATGTGTTCCAATGTGGTTTTACTGCAAATGGCAAATGAATCTGAATCTGAATCTTATGTACACCTGACCTAGGGTAATCAATCAAGTAATTTTCTTACAAAAATGCAACACAAAGTTCTTTTACAGTTTGGTTCAAAACAATCCCACTTGTCCATGACCTGTGTTAGACCTGTCAAAACTACCACCCAGCAGCCTCACCCCAAACCACATCTACACACGCAGCCACACGCACACTCTTACAACACTTATTACTGAGTGTCTTTCTGATTATCTGCAGATGTATATCCATCCATCCATCCATTTTCTTCTCCTTAATCCATTTCTGGGTCGGGGGGTGGCAGTCAGAGCTGCACCCAGCACTCATAGCACTTAAGCACCAGCCCCTCACTGATCCTCCTGCAGGTGGTGAGTCCACAGGAGGATGGCTGCTCTGTCAATGACAACACAGCCTTGATCTTTCAGCGGGAGCTACAGGCAAAGTGTCTTGCCCAAGGACACAACGACAGCAGACATGAGTGGGAGTCGGTGGAGAAGGCCTTTGAGCCTGAATGCTCTACCAACTGAGCCACTGTCTTCTCATATACAAGTGTATATTTCTTGCACTAGAGGATCAAGTATTTTATACTTTCTTTTATATTAAGCTAAAGCTGATTCCTCCTGGTGCTCCGTTTTCTGCTACCACTAAACACAAACAGTAGGTGAGGGTTGAATGAGTGTTTGTGAGTGCGACTGTGGACTACCTTTTGTATTTACTACTGTTCATTAATACACACTGCCCTATCCAAATATACAAATACAAATATGATTAATTTTGTTCTTTAGTCATTGAATTTAATTTTTTAGAATTTTGTTTTGACCAATGGATGAAAACCAGAGACTGGAGGATGATCAGCAGTGCACAGGAAGAACATGCAAACTCCGTCTCCTCCAGAGCCACACATATGACACACTTCATAAGATAAGATAAGATAAGATAAGATGAGCTTTATTTATCTCACAGAGGAGAAATTTACATGTCACATTTGGCATGGATAGAGACACTCAGATTGTGCAAAGGGAGGAAATGTGCAAACATGTTACATGCAGGATATATGTACAATAAAAGTGACAATAATTATGTACAACAACATACCCATGTCACCGTCTGTTCCTCTTGACCGTAACTACGACGTCAGTGTCATCACCGCTGTCCTGAACGCTGACTCAGGCCTGGAATGAAAACAGGATGCTTTTTCACATTCCTCTCACATTCTCAGAGCGTTGGAGCGACGGAAACTAAAGCCTCTGATACTCGCCTTGCTTTAATCAGAGCGTTGCCACAACACATGCATTGTTTAAGTCGGCCTCCGATAAAGAAACTGTTTTTCTCCCGAGCGGGCACATGCGGGCTGATGGTAAACTCTGATAGGCTGAGAGTTTAGATACAAGGACACTTCTATGAGTAAGACTTGTGCGATGCAATTGCTGCATAACCACTGTGTATGGAGTGAATTAATGATAAAAATAATAATAATAATAGCAAATCAAATTATATTTTTAGAGCCCCTTACAACCCCGAGGACACCAAAGGACTTTACAGTAAAATATACAATAAAACATTCATGTAATCAAACAATTAAACAGTAAAAAAGCATTAACAAGAAATTAAAGCATTAAAGTAGTGCCAACGTGCAAATGAGTGTTATGCCTAGCGTACATCGGACTGGCAACCGGCAAATCAGGGGGCAGCTTGTTCCAGAGTCTGGGTCCAGGGACTGAGAAGGACCTGTCACCCCAGTGTTTGGAGTTTAGAGTTGAGTAATTATGATAATGCCATGTCAAGTGTGTCCTTGAGTGTCTTTGAGTGTCCAAAAAAGTGTGATATGAAAGTGGTACATTAATATTATCATTATTCAAATTAAACAGCAAGAAGTGTACATGTACATTAATTGTTGTGTTGTCAAAATACTGAAGAATTAGCTACAAACTGGTTACCATTTCAATACCACTGTGACAATTTGAAGATGGTTGAAGAGGA